TACCGTACCGTACCGTATCCTACCGTTACACTACTCTACTCTCTACCTCTCTCTACTCTCTCTCTCTCTCTCTCTCTCTCTCTCTCTCCTCTCTCTCTCTCTCTCTCTCTCTCTCTCTCTCTCTCTCTCTCTCTCTCTCTCTCTCTCTCTCTCTCTCTCTCTCTCTCTCTCTCTCTCTCTCATTTTTGTTTGAGAAATATGAATGTATGGATTCTTTTCATTTTTCTGGTCATTTAGAAAGATGAATATATGGCTGATTTTCTTTTCAATGGTTATTTTTTTCAAATGATGTGTGTTTTAGCTTCATAAACACGAATTCGAGGCATTCCTGACTAACTTGTGACTATTTTGTGGAGATTGAGTTTTTTTAGAACCCATTCCGACTCTGGATAACATGAGAATATTAGCATCCGAGATAAATATTAAAGTGAAATAGTTGTGCTTGTGCTCTAACATTTTCCTGCGAAATCTTCTTTACTTGTCTGTTTAAATGGAAGGTGTGCGGTCCCTTCTTGCATCTAAGATTATAGGCTGTGACAAATCCATTGCTCAAACAAGTCAACATGAAGAAAGATGTCAAATTTATTATTGGCTTGGCTATGATTGAAAATCAGTGTTTGATGTTACATAGAAAAAGTAGGCAGTTCTTAGTATAATCTTTTGATGCCAGTATCGAGCGCGTGCCTTGATCCGGGGTTCTACCATGGTTGTGTAGTCTTGATGAAGAAATTCTAGTTAAAGATCACTCAGGTTTAAATTATGATCGTCAGGGAATTTAGTTTTTTAGTGTGATTGATGAGTCTCCCACAAAAAGGATTATTTGCCTATGGGAATCAAAACAAATGGGCCGAAAAGTTTTGTTTTTTTTTTAATGTTAAAATGGGCAGAAAAGTTACTTCAGAGTCTGCCTTGTCCATTGAAAATCTTGAGAATATCATGCCTATTTCCCAATTTGCTTAATACCATAAGAATTGCTCTATCCATTTTGTCAAATAATGCTCTCACTGAAAGGCAGATTTATGTCGAAATGTTTGATGATTAGAAATATTTACTTTGGAGCTTGAATAATTTTCCAAGAATGCAATGATTTTTTTTTATTTTCTTTTGAAAGTAGAATGCAATGTTTATTTTGGATACAATTAAAAGCAATGGTTTTTTTAGTGCATGGAGCTGAATAGTGGTAATTGTATTGCTATGCTTCTCAATGGGGAACAATGAAGTATCTTAAAATCAAGTAATTAGGAGAAACTTGAGGAGAAGAGGCTATTGAGGAAGTATTTGCAAGAGATATGAAACATCCAGAATCTTTTGTTTTTTTGTTTTTTCATCTTTTTGAAATGAACTCCTCCAGAAATTAGAGACATATATAAGTACCTCAAGAAAATGAACGAGAGAGTGTGTGGTTAAAGAAAAGGCATTGAGATAGATAGAGTTCTAAAATGGCGTTAATTGTAAATAAAGAAAATGTTGACTAGAGCACAAAAAACGGTCACAAGCTATCCAATATGAGTCAAATCTTGATACATGCCCTAAAATGTGACTTAAAAACTCTAGAAACCAATATTTAGTTGAAAGCTCTTTGAACAATCATATATGTAATTTATTAGTTAACCTTGAAATCTTTTTTTTTTTTTTGAAAAGGTTAACTTGTTGTATTGAATGTAAAATAGATGCAAAAAGGTATTCAGTATCTCAAAGGATGGGTGCTCATTACAGCTTCCAAACAATGCGTTACTGAGTAAACTCATAAAAAAAATGGGTGATAAACCCTTGTATATCACAATGTGCAGAAAGCATGTTCTTGTCTTATACTAATAAGTAGGACCAAAGCTCAAAAAATTGCCAAGGTCCCACTGGTTGGAGTATTTACTGCTGGCCCAAGACATGCACCAGCTTTAGTGAGACAATCTATATCGTATTTCGCCTCGTGTCATGTATGCCCATAAGAGATATGAATAGTTACCGAACCGATTCGAAAACCGAATCGATCTAGGAATTAGAAGCGTGGAATCGTCGCTGGCTAGAAGATTCCTATTTTAGGAGTCGACGTATGTACAAGAGGAATCGTGGGGGATGAGATTCCTATTTTTAGGACTAGATTTCACCAAAATAAAATCAAGATCCTTAGAAAGATGGAATCGAGATTCCTAGCTCTTGGGAATCGAGTTTTCGACCTAGTTGGAATCAAACAATATGGAATTGAGATTCCTTCATTTATGGAATCGAGATGTCCGACATCTTTGAAATCAAGAGGGAACTGAGATGGAAACAATACATGTCTCCATGCCATCAGTGCTTCAAATCGCGGACCACCCATCGCCTAGGCGTTCCAGGAGGCTTGGGTGCATCGCCCCCGCCTAGGCAGCCAAACTAGGCGGTAGTCCTTTGGGCAGCCGCTTGGGCGATACAGCACCCATCTAGCGGGCGCCCAGCCCTGGGTAGTCGCCCAAGGCCTGCGCCCCGCTCATGGGCAGAAATGACTTTTCTATTAAAGGTTTTTTTGAAAAAAAAGCTTTTAAGGGATTATTTGAAACTTCAACCCACAAACCCATTTTAGAGAGAGATAAACGTTAAAAAACTAGATTTTGTGGTTTTTATTAGATCAAAGTGTTTCTCAAAATTCCGGGAAATGGATCCAAACATTACCTAGGTAGATTAGATTTAGTTTTGGAGTTTTTTTAATCCTATTAGAGGGTGTTTTTGAATATTTTAGCACCAGAAAAAATCTCAGAGGTGGAAGTTTGGAGTTCGAGCAATCAAAGTAAGTGCAAAACTTTATTTTTTAGATTGCTTGTTTTATTTTGAGATGTCTTCTTCAGGATCTAGTTGAAGTGGAGATCTACGTTGGAAATATGGATATAACCCGAATCTAAATGACAAAAATTGCATAAGATGCAATTATTGTGAAAAAAATACAAAAGGGAGCATAAACCTGTTTAAGAAACACCTTGCCGATATTAAGGGAAATGTTGCCCTTATAAAAATGCTCCTGAAGCTATCAGAGAGGAGATTAAGCAATATATGAGTTATGTAAAACAATAACGGGAACAAAATTCTTGTCATTTGAATAAGTCTGCGTTTGGTTTTGCTAGAAGAAGTGATCAGCGTTGGAAGTATGGTCATAACCCGAAACCAAACGATAAAAATTGTTTAATGTATATTTTTGTGAAAAAGATACCAATGGGGGTATTAACCGATTCAAAAAACACCTTGCCGGTATTAAAATGATTGTTGCTTCTTGTAAAAAGGTTCTTGAAGCTATTTGGGATGAGATTAGGCAATTTCTAAATTTAGTAGAACCAGAAAAAGATGAAAATGAGCCTTGTTCTATGGAAATATCTTATCCAGGTTCTTCTTGAAGCGGTGGTCCGGGTTGAAAGTATGGTTATAACCTGAAGTCAAATGGCAAAAATCGTATTAAATGTAATTATTGTGGAAATGATACTAATGGGGTTATTTACCGGTTCCAAACACCTTACCGGTATTAAAGGGGATGTTGCCCCGTGTAAAAATGCTTCTGAGGCTACCAGGGAGGAGATTATACAATATTTGAGTTTAGGGAAACACAAAAATATAGAAAAGGGTAGAATAGCCAAGACTCTTAAGGCCTCATTTGCATATAGTAAAAAGGAGATAGAAGAAGAAAATGAAGAGGCAGATTCAGAAGAAACAGATGAGGACAAGTATTATGTTGCAGAGGGAGATGACTCTGATGATGATGTCCTCAAATCTAATGCATATGATGAGGCTTACCCTACTCCTTCTGATGATGATGATGACTGAAGAATGAAGAGTTGCAGACGCTTGACTCTTGGTGTTGATTATTGAGTGTTGACTATTGTATCCTAGCCTCCTAAACTGTATATTTTTTGAATTTCTGTATATTTTCTTTTTCTTATTTTTAGTTTCTAGTTTCTACTATCTAACTTTTATTTTGTATGTATCAGAATCAGACTATCAGTGTATGCTTGTATGGTTTTAGCATTGTATGAAATTATAGATTATGGTCTTATGGACTATCAAAATTCTCTTCTGGACTTCTCTTCATTCATGAAATTTTCAAATATGGATTATGGATAGAATATCAAAATTCTAATATTTGTGGTTAGAATATCAAAATTCTCCTCATTTATGGTTAGAATATCAAAATTCTAACTTTTCTCTATCTACTGAGCCGCCCAGGTTCGGAATGCCCGCCTAGGCGCTGGGTGGTCTGGACCCCCATGGCCGCTTAGGTGCCGCCAGACACTTTTTGGAACATTGCATGCCATTCATTGGCCAACATGCCATACATGCACCTTTAAATTATTTGCAGTATATTATTTCCAACAACTTTAGAGTTGCAATCTCGCCATTGGATTAATACAATGCATAATTAAAAAATTAAGTGAAGAACGTGGACCAACACTTTGATTTCTATTGGTCATTTCATGTCAAAATAACTACACCTTTAGCTTAAGATTGAGTGTCTAGCTCAAGTAGTTTGATGTCTTGAAACCTTCTAAACGTCACTTCTCAGAAAATAGCAAAAAGAGAAAAAGAGGGGGAAGTAAGTAGTATTCCGGTAGATATAGAAACCAGTTTCAGCAAGTGTAGAATTGAGATTCACCAATTGCAGAATCGAGAATCAAGAAATATTAGAAACTAGATTCTATAAGTGTTGGAATTGAGATTCCTAAAATAAGGAATCGAGATTCTAGACTTCACGGAAACGGGTTCCATGAAGATTCCTAGTCGAAATTGCCAAATCTTCCAAATCGGAACTGCAACCTTCGATGAGAGATTTGGGTAACTATGGAGATACGCATATGCCTGCAAAGGTTATAGAGTTGGTTGAAAATGTGGTTGAGCCACCAAGGGCACGAGGAGTCCTTCTTAACCCATGATATGATATTTTTGGAGTCCGCTTCCACCACCAAACAATGAAACCATTCCACCAT